GTGGCCGTAGCGGAGCCTGCCTCTTGCCAGAAGCGATTATTGCAGATGGCGAAATAATCCTTTCTTTAAACCAAGTTAAGCTGTTGTATTAATACTACTGTCCGAGGGCTCAGCAGATAAAAAGTCCTCAGCCTCGTTCCAGGCTCCTTGGTAACTTTTCCTAAAGGAATCGCATAATGCCTTCCCCTCCCCACCTGCCGCCCCATCCCCCAAGATGCTGGCAGGTAATTAATCAAAATCCTTGCTCCCCATTTCTGTCCTCGAAAGACTCAACATGGTGTATGTGTGTCTTACTTTGTATGGTGTTCGTTTTTCTTTAAAGTCTGTTAACCCAGTTGCTCCGCTAAGAATCACCTTAGCTGTTTGGAGTAGAGCTAAGCATCCGTAGTTTTAATAAGGACTCAGGAGGATTTTTAGCCCCCACGGAGTTTGGGGAAACATAAGAGTCTGAGAGGCCTGGGTTTGAAACCCATATGTGCCGTCTTCTAGGGGCGGGGGGTGCGTGTGTGTGCGCGCGCGTGTGCGTTTGAGCGACACAAGAGATTCACAGATTTCTCTGTAGTTCATCCAGGAACCCACATCTGGAAAGCTGCTCTGTATTTTGTTCAAAAATGGAGCCCTGATTCTTAACGTTTAGAAATAGCCAGAGCCTCGAAGCCTGTGGATTTTGCTGTCGGTAATGCTCCCTTTGGACGGAGTGCTGCTCATTACCCTCCCAGTCCTGCCAGGTCCCTTGGCCGTGTCCCGTGGCCATTAGGCCAGAAGGGTGTGATGACCCCACTGCCATTCTGAGAACACCCCCTCTTCCAAAGCAAAGACCGCGAACCCTGGGGATGTAGCCCCCACCTTTTAGGCATCAGCGGCTACTTTGTGAAGCAAACAGAGCAAGAGGCTGTCAGCGCAAGTTGATTGAAACTGTACTGTGTGATGATGTGATTTCCGGCAGGTCGTGGGTGTTGGCAGCAGTGGCGGGGGGTCGGGGGGAGGGGCGGTAGGACTCGCCAGACTCCTCCTCTGCCACTTGTTGCCTCTCAACAGGATGCCGTCCCAGGAAGCCTGTGGTCCTAGTCACTGAAGGGAAACAGGGGGACAGCTTCATCTCACCCCACCCCCACCCCCACTTTCAGTGCACTAAACGTGGCACTAAAGGAATCGAATTTTCGCGGTATGTCCTTTGCAACAAAGAGTCTTCCGATTCTTTCTTTTCGGTCATTTCACGTGCCATAAACTTGAGACGTGCACCTTCTGCCTTCCAAACTGGGCCAAGAAATTTAGGGCTGATTAAATCCTGTGTCACCTCCCGTGGGACTTTGGTTATTGCCGGGTGGTCTGGCTCTGTCTTTATCCAGACCTCGAAGAAGCCTTTTCTTGACCTACCCTCCCTTCTCCAAAGCAACTCTTAACCATCTGGATGTGTGTTAGTCTAATTGGGGCAAAATCCTGCAAAGGCCTCGGGCTGTGAGTGCCTTTAAAGGGACCTCTTCTTGGTCAGTGGAGAGTCATCGGGAGCCTATCACCTGACATCCTAGCTGCTACCTACCTACCTTGGGTGCTGCTGTATGGACCCACAGGATCGCTGGAAGAGAAGAAAGCGAAAGGTCTAGCTGCGGTTTTGTCTCTTTTCTCCTTAGTCGTGGGGGCTACGATCGACCACGTAACCTTTCTGGGCCTCGGTTTCTCCTTGATAAAGACAGCAAGTTTTGAATAAGTGATCTCTAGGATTCCTTTGTGCTTGAAAATAACATGACTTTTTAAAAGTTTGTTTATTTTAAGACAGAGAGAGAGAACGCGCACAACGCGTGTGCCTGTGCGAGTGGGGGAGGGGCAGAGGGAGAGAGCGAGAGAATCTCAAGCAGGCTCCACACTGACAGTGCAGAGCCCGATGCGGGGCTCGAACTCACACACGACAAGATCATGACCCAGGCTGAAGTCGGACACTTAACCGACTGAGCCATCCACACGCCCCAAAATAACATGATTTCTTTCGTCTGTTCATTTGTTTGAACATTCAGGACGTGGTAGGATGAAATTGAACGAGTAAATTGTGCATCTTGTCCTTTAGATCTGGTACCCCAACAAACTAGTGCAAGAGGAAAACCCCTTGAATTGAGGGCCGGGTGTGTGTGTTCATCCTCTTTGCCGCGGCGTCTTCTACATGGTGATCCTGGGTCCTTGTCACAAACCGGAGCCAGTCCCCTTGGGTTCCATCGCAGTGCCACAGTTTACTGCCCCTGTGACCTCGGGACGTGACTTACTGCCTCTGTGCATTGGCCCCATCATTTGTAAAATGGGGAGAATATAGTACCCTCCTCACTGGGTTGTTAGAAAGCTTACTCTGAGACATTCCAACGAGTGCCCAATAGCTAGCCCTAAATGCATTTTTTTTAAAATTTTTTTTTCAATGTTTTATTTATTTTTGAGACAGAGAGAGAGCATGAACGGGGGAGGGGCAGAGAGAGAGGGAGACACAGAATCGGAAACAGGCTCCAGGCTCTGAGCCATCAGCCCAGAGCCTGACGCGGGGCTCGAACTCACGGACCGCGAGATCGTGACCTGGCTGAAGTCGGACGCTTAACCGACTGCGCCACCCAGGCGCCCCCCTAAATGCATTTTTAAACGGACAAACAAAAGTACAATTCTCAATGCCGTAGAGTTTTGTTCTAGGCAGAGACAGGAATGCTTTTCATTAGCCTGCCAGCATGTTCCCTGTATTTTGGGATTCCAGCCTCCACGATGGGCAGACCCTCATACCAGTAGGTATTCCTACACTACTGACCATGTGTTAACACAGCCACGTGTGTCCTTTCCAACAGCCACATCAGGCTGGCAGGAGGCTTGACTGTAGGTCCTTCCAGCAAAGGTGACCGTGAGGGGAGAGGGAAGCCGTGGTCAGGCAATGACCGCGTTTAGGATCTGCAGCGAAGGAGCCCTCCTTCCTTGTCAGAGGCCACTTTTCTCTGGGGGTCACATAGAATGTAAACAACAGGAAGAGATGGTGGGGAACAGTACTTCACGTGGAAATGGCCTTGTGAAAAATATTTATTGCCTCCTCCCCGGTCCCCAAATCTACCTTCGTAAATTTCTTTCTTTTATTTCCTTTATATCATGACGGCGGTTGGAAGTGCGTTTTAAGTAGAAGTTAATTTTGAAGGATTGATCCTCTGTACCTCATGCATTCAGGGATCAGGCGATTCCTTTTTGCTTTCAATTGAATTGCTAATTTATAATAAGTCAGTGAAAATCTGCATCTGTATAATCTGTTCCAGAGGACACATGCTGCATCCGTATTGACCATACTTACCCCATGTATTGATGGCTGGTATTTACATTATTGCTGTTAAGGCCATGTTTTTATTAGCATGACTGTTTTTTTTGTGTGTTGGTTTTTTTTTTTTTTAATTAGTGTTCTTTTGTTCTACTCTGTAGCGTATTTACCAGCACACTGTGACTTCTGTATATTTACCAAGCTTCTATTTCAAAATATGCCTTCACGTAAAACTAGACTCACCCAATTAACTGGAATTAAACAACAAACGCTGCAGGGCGTAGGACAGATTAAAACATGCACGACAACCCTGATTTGGAGTTTGGTCGTTCGAGTTGTAAAGAAACAAGTCAAAATGGGTTCCCGATCTTCTGGGGGAAAACGTTGCCTCATTACCGTGGTAGGAAGGCGACAGGATTGAATGTTCTTGCCATGTCTTTCCCCTGTGTGAGGAGCCAGGTCCAAGATCCTAATAGCCTGAAGCCCTGACACTTGAAAGTAAGCTAATGTGCTTATATTATGGGCAGAGCACGAGACACCAGAAGGCACAGTGGCACAGAAAATGCTCTGTCTCTGTCTCATGTGGCACCAAGAAAGCCCCTGTTAAAAGTCACGGGCCACTTGTTGAGGACCAGCGATGCGTGTATGCACTGCCAGTAATGTTAGCTTCCAGTTAGTACCAGTTCCGAGTACCGGCGCCCCTTCCAGCCGCACGCTACCCAGGGGGCAGGTGACATAATCCATGCCTGTAAGAACCACAACAGGGAAACATCACTCCCAGCGCCACCCGAGTTTTGCACGGTGGGTCGTCACAAACCTGTAGCCAGGGATCTGCACGGCTGGCCAATAAGTGAGATTATTTTCTGTCTCCTTGAAATCAGTGTCTGGTGATCAGCCAGGCAGATTGAAAACCATGGCTTGAAGATTTACATTCAGCAACTAAAATTTACGTTCCCTGAAAGGCAAAGAAGGCTGTCATTTCATGCTTCCTAACCTTCATTGTCTGTTTCCCTTTGGTACACACAAGCAGCCCGGGACGCACGAGCATACGCGCCCATTATGGAGAGATGGCTTTCTGCCCTGTCAACTTTGTTTTATAAAAGCTCTGTTTTCTTTATTGCCTTTATCTATTACATCTGTAAAATTTATTTAAGCAATGACAAATCTCTCTTTGGGGCCCCAGAGTCTGGGAGAACAACCACTGGCAGCCCATTGGGAGGAGATTTGTTGGATATGACTGTTCATTACATTACAAGGAGTGTAGTGGGACAGGCCAACGGCCCGCATCTACCGCGGCTGGGCGGTTATGGTCTGTGTTGAGAGCGTCTGCATCAGGTGAGCGACACATGTACCTCCTCAGTTGCTTTTGTAATAGTTCAGTAAAAGCGGATGGCTTTTGAAATCTTAAGAGGAGGGTCCCCGGTTTCTTGCCCTTGTAAGAGTACTTATTTCACAAAAATTTCCAACCAAAAATAGAAGAGTCCTCGAAACCAAATTGTTTACGTTGACATCATTACCAGTTATTTGAAAAGTGGAAAGAATCAACGGAGACGGGCTCCTTCGCTCGGGAGGTATCGGAATCAGGTGACAAAGAATTGTCAGCATCGCAGTTCACTTCTGTGTTTTGATCTGTGTACATAATAACAACACAGGGGCTCTTTTGCACTTTTATTCATTTCAATTTTTCATTTGCCCTAGGAAACAAAAAAAGACATTTATGGGGCTTCTGGTTTTGGCCAGGCAATTCGAAAGACATGGTGCTTATTACATGGTCTCTTACAGAGGTTGGCAGGGAAAAATCAAGTGTCCTGGATGTCACGTAAGTGCTGCGGTAGAAATAGCCGCAGGGGCACTCAGCCATTCTCAGGGTGGCCTGGAGTTCGGTGCACCAGGACTCAGACTGCGAAGGTGAAGGCAGGCCAGGCTCTCCCTGCAAAAGATAGGAGGTGAGCCTGAAGCCTGAAGCAACTTTCTGTGTGCTGGGGACATTGAAAGGCAGCTGGAGGCGTTGCGAGGCGGGGGAGGGGTGAGTGGTAACAGTGGGAAGGGAAGCATCCCCTGACTGTGGACGGTGGTCTGGAGGAAGAGGGAGGGGACGGAGCCCGGAAGCAAGGTAGTCATGACTTGGTGAGCAGTGAATTAGGTGTGAGTGCTTAACCAGGAGGCATCCAGGATTGTGCGTTGTGACTCCTTGTGAAACAGCCAGCATCCTAAGTGAGAACTGTAGTGGGTTCTACAGTAGGTAGAACAGTGGGTGGTCTCTAGTGGGTTCTAGAATCGTCCCTCAGTTCTGTCCTTCGGATACCTTCTAAGCAGCTAAACGTAAATAGGGAAGGGTTTCCACGTTCCCGCCTTTCCCCGGGCCCCTAGTTTCTCTGGCACGTCACATGGTGGGAGGGAAGACTAGTATTTCAACAAAGTAAGGTTACTAACTGTCGGTGTGCTGGTTAACAGCCGGCCCTGGAGTCGGGGCTGTGTCGGGGGGAACCCTGAATTGCATGCAGTGTTTGCTGTTTTTTTGGTATACGTATTCTCCCCATGGTCCGTTCCAAGCTTCCAGTGTGAGGTCACTGGTTTATCCACAGCACAAGCCTCCGAAGACACCCGAGCATCACCTGCACGGACTCACTTACCTCATGGGGCCCCATCCGCGCACATGCAGCGCCTTCATGAAATTGTGTTCTTTATACACTTAGGTTTAAGTAACCTTACACCGTGCCTTTTAGGAGTATGGTATCAGAAGTCGGGCTGCCTGTGTTCACATCTCTGACTTTCCCCTCTGAGGCAAGCCAGGCAGTTAAGCCATGTTGGAGTTCATTTGCTCATCAGTAAAAGAGGAACAGTAAAAGGACCTGGCTCGTAGGGCACTGATGGCCTACAGATAGTAAAGCGCTCCGGCAGGATTCCTCATATTTATTTCCTGTCTTTACTCCCTGGGGACAGTAACACAAATGTTAACCACCTGTTGTGTAAAACGTATTAGTTTTGAATTGCCTTCAGTGAAGCTTCAGCGGGAACCCCACGTTCGACTATATCAAGATTCATTCAGTCTTGCGTTCAGCTTGTCCATAGGTTTAAGCATTTTATTTATTTTTACTTTTTTAAACTTTATTTATTTTTGGGGGGAGGCGGGGGAAGCGCGAGCCGGGGAGGGGGCAGAGACAGAGAGAGAGAGAGAGAGAGAGAGAGAGAATCCCAAGCAGGCTCCACAGCGTGGGGCCTCACGTGGGGCTCGATCCCACAACCCCTGGGATTCTGACCTGAGCCAGAACCAAGAGTGGGATGCTCAACCAGCTGAGCCACACAGGTGCCCCTGTAGTTGGTTTTTCTTTGCATCTTTTCCTAACTTACTGCTGGGCTGTAAGAAAGTAGGGCTCCTGGAGGAAGTTCTCCTGTACAGGAACGGGCCGCATGTTCAGTTTTGTCTTGAAGAGTCTGCAAACATTTTTTGGCCTTGGTAGCACCTGGGATTCATGAGTTTAATGTGCTTTGACGGTGCATTCTTTTTTTTTTTTTTTTTTTTAACATTTATTTATTTTTGAGACAGAGAGAGAGCATGAATGGGGGAGGGTCAGAGAGAGGGAGACACAGAATCTGAAACAGGCTCCAGGCTCTGAGCCATCAGCTCAGAGCCCGACGCGGGGCTCGAACTCACAGACCGTGAGATCGTGACCTGGTTGAAGTCGGACGCTTAACCGACTGAGCCACCCAGGTGCCCCGACGGTGCATTCTTAATGAGTGAGAAGGCTGTAGTTTTCTTTAATCTTGAAGTTGAGTTGAACGATCGGCACCAGAAAATGGAATCCTTTGCAGCAGGAGACTTTATCAGTGTGCTCTCTTAACTACCGCCTTTTCGGAAAGCTTATCCAATCTAATATTAGATTCATATATCTTGGAGTTAGCATACTGTCAAACACACAAATGGGGCAGACTTTAACTGAAAAATGGCTTCCTCTTCACTCATTTGGAAAAGTATGTACTCGTTTATTTGTGCTAATTCAGGTACCGGGATGTACTAAATAAAATAGCATGATCAGTCTCTTGGCTAAATGTAGGATTGTGTGGCTGAAAATTTCTTTAAAAAAAATTTTTTTTTAACGTTTATTTATTTTTGAGAGAACAGAGTGCGGGCGGTGGAGGGACAGAGAGAGAGGGAGACACAGAATCTGAAGGAGGCTCCAGGCTTCGAGCTGTCAGCACAGAGCCCAACGCGTGTGCGGCTCGAACTCACAGACCGCAACATCATGACCTGAGTCGAAGTCAGATGCTTAACCGACCCAGCCACCCAGGCAGCCGGGTGGCTGAAAATTTCTAAAGCAAAATCTAAGTGGAAAAAGAAAAAAGAAAAAAAAAAAGCCGTTTGGTTTTTGTGCTTCCCCGCCCCCATCCAAGAAATTTCGATTTCCAAAATGTCAACATGTGATTTCTCCTTCAAAGCGTTCAGTGGGTAGCCTGTTGTTCAGTGCTTTCAACAAGGGTTGCGGGGGAAGACCCTTGAAGTGTAGCTGACTCGTCTGGGCACCCGTTGCCCAGGATTGTTGAGAAACAGACTGGATGCTCTGGTGGCCAACTTCTGTCTGGCCATCACCTTCCCCCTCCCTCTCTCCTGAGAGGCCTGTTTGGGTAGGAAGAGATAATGGTGTGCCTGGTTTTTTTTTTCAAAGGGAAAGCCTTTGGGTCCAGTAATTCTGCAACCCCTTCAGAGGGCGGCTGCGTGCTTCAAACGAAGCCCGTGTGGGATTGTATCCTCTCCCTGCCCAGGCCATGCAATCTGTTGCTGGCTGCTCACAGACCCAGCCCCCAGCTTCAGCTGAAAAAGATCTTCAGTTATTTCAGGCAGACGGTTATGGGTACAAATCAGATTTTTTGTCCAGTGTGTGTGTGTGTGTGTGTGTGTGTGTGTGTAATGCTTGGGAGAATTAGAAGGCAACCTGGAAAAGATGCTGAAATGTTCAGCCAGGTCTCCTTTCAGTGAAGAGAGGTGTAGAAAACATACCCTGATGATGAGCACCAATTAACTGTGCATTACTTTCTGGAAAAGACTTCAAGCTGGTTGCCCTGCAGGTCAGAGTCAATAAAGACTGAGTTACTAACAATAGCCTTTCTCTCTCACCGAAGCCTTGGACTTAACCCTAACTTCATCAGACCAGAGAAGAAGAGAATAATGCGAACAATAGGAGTCTTGGAGGTTGACTTGGGCCTAATGCTCAGAGGCCGTAAAAGCTGTCAGGAGCTTGATTGATTGGCTCTCACGCCTTAGTCCCCAGTGCAAAGCACTAATGTTCCAGCCTCTTCGGAGAGGGTTGATGTGCCACCTGGGGTCAGAACTTATCAGCCTGCGGGGCTAATGTTTCAGATGAGGCCAAAGTGCGGTCAATAATTTATACGGAAATTTGTGCTTAAGAGTCGCAAGGAAAGCAAGTTTTGACTCGAATTCCTGCCTGTTCGGAAGAGACGCCCAGGTCAACTTTGGCTCTCCCTGCTAACATTGCTGGCGTGTGTGCATCGGTAACATTTAAGAGAAACTTGAACTGCAGAAGAGAATTAGAGCCATCATGGAACGTGTCTGTGGCAGTTACAAGGAGCCAAATGTCAGGAGTTTCAGAACCGCGAGGCGAAATGGGGAAAAGAAACACCAGCCCTTGTGAACGTATTGCAAAAACAAAAGGAAATCCCCTCTAGTAGGTAGTAACTAGGTCAGGTTAAATCGTAGTGACTTTGGAAACGGTTAAGCATCCGTGGGGCGTGTCGGTTTACAGGCTCGGAGGCGGAGGAGGTTCACGGTCCTGAGAACCCGGAGAGAAATGTTAGGTGATATCGAGGACGAGAAGACGCGTGAGTATCGGAGAGCAATGCGGTGTCAGCGAGAGGCCTGAAATACTTGATCCCTTCTGCGGAGAAATGTAGCCCAAAGTTAGCTTGGTGGCTGCACTGACTGTGGACGTGGGAGAGAGTGTGTGTGTGTGTGTGTGTGTGTGTGTGTGTGCGCGCGCGCGCGCGCCTGTGTGTGTACAGAACATCTCTGCGTCTACGGAAGCACATGCATTGCCGAAATGGACAGCAGAGCGGTGACACCCGAGCGAGGCTGGTCAATCAATAACCAGCTAAGTTTTGTTCTGCTCCAGCAAAATGATGCCTTGCTCCAGTAAGTGCTAACAAAGGCCCTTTTCCCTGGCTCTGCTTACGGAGAGCACTATTAGTCATGCTTCATTAGGCTTGTTTACAGAAAAGAGCTGGTCTCTAAGCACATTATTGAAATACTTGTGACTCTGCTGGGCTTTATTCTTCCCTGAAAGATAGGGACTTCGGAATGGGGGGGGGGGTGCCTCTGACCATTGTTGAGAAATCTGGGCTGTTCCAATGGTAACCGGAGCCGTTTCTGAAAACCGGATGTGAGGTTTCCCTGTCCTACGTCCAGAGGGGAGACTTGAGGGATTTAGAGCTGCATTTCTCTGTCGGCTGTACTATTGAGTGGTGGCACGAGGAGAGGTCTCTCAGGAAGGAGAACTTCGTGTCGGTTGAAACCGGTGTAGGAATCACACAACTCCTTAACGTTGGAATTGGCGGCTCGTGAGACTTGCCAGGATCGATGTGCCGTATGCGCAAGGGCCTGGTCACCAGGAGTCCAGGATGATCTTTGTGGACGCCCAGGTCCGAGGGTGTTTTGCCTGGAGGGAGTCCAGTGGCGCTTGCTGCTGACTGTATTTCTGAGTGTGGAATTCCTAGGATTTTGGCTTCTCCCTCTGCTCTCCTAGCTTGCGACCTGGGGCTCCAGGGGAGTTGGAAGATGAGGAAGCCAAAGTCCATTTGCGACCCGACTGTTTTGTGCCAGCGCCCGTGTTAAATGCTTTACAGAAGTCACACCTTATTTGATACCCGTATGTATCCTCCCTGTGTTACAGATGAGGAAACTGAGGCACCGAGCGCTTTAGTTGAAGGTGAGGCAGCAGCTGCAGAGCGGGCTTGGGAGCCAGGTGCATCTGCCTCCAGAGACCTCTTCTCAGGCGCTCGGGATGCTGCGTGGGATTACCAATCACTCTTGTCTTCTGTCTTCCTCCCTAGTCCTCAAAATAAAATTGGCTGCAGACTGAGCTTGATTGGAGTTAATTCCTTCAGCTTTCCTTATTACATTCTGAACCTGAGCCATAATTATGTGGCCTCACTAGAGACTGTGTGAACCCCCTCCCACGCTGCCTTGGGGGCTTGGCCGCTTCCGGGTGAGACCAAGGAGGTCTACCCACGACACAGACCCCACTCACCCCACTGCCTTCAGTTGTGAGGGTGCTGAGTCTGGTTCCTCTGACATTTACACCCCTTGTTTCCTTTTTAGATTCGCAGAGTTGCTGACTTGAAGGTGACACACAAAATGTGCCCCTTTGTGTGCTGCAGACATGCACAGCCTTCCTGTTCTCTCTCTCTCTCATACCCGCGCGCCAGCGCGCACACACACACACACACACACACACACACAAGTTCCCTGGTTTTCAGCTGCTGTTGTAAATTGCTATTTTAAATTTCAGCAAGTGGAATAATAGCAGAGTGATCATCTCCAGTAAATGCTGTTGGTCTTTGTAAAGAATGGCTTGTTCAGAGGATTTATGATTTATGGGGGACACAGCTGGTGGCCAGCAGAGCTGTAGGAATGTGTGCTCTCCTGGGCCGGGGAGAGCTCCAGATGAAAAGGGCCCAGAGCTGGCACAAAAGCAAATAAGCGCTCTGACTTTCAATAAAGCGTCATAATTTATATGAAGCCTGGCTCTTCGGTCCCAGGGAGATGCACGCATCAGTAGCAGCTTTTTGATGTGAGCATAATTGTCGATTGGTTCCCACCGTCTCCTTGTAGCTCAAGGATTGGGGATGGTAAGAAATCACTTGAAAACGCAGTCCTATAGTCTATAGTTGTATACGCATATTTTGACAAGCAATTCACAAGCATTGAAACCAGGAACTCTGCTGATCACCCACCTAGACTGATCCACAGGAGGTTTGTGAGCTGAGGCTAGGACGCGGAGCCCTCCATGTTCCCTTTGCTGAGTCTCCTCTCCTTCCCCAAAGTATATGAGTTTTTCCATTCTTCTGTTTTATTTCCTTGGCATCTTGCTATTTTATTCATCTCGGCGATGACTTGGCCTCCCCGCCTGCCTGTGGAGAGCAGTGAGACAGCAGAGAAACAGACTGGTTTCCCCACCAGGAAATGGGGAGGCGGAGATCCCCGTTAAGCGACCTTCCAAATTCTCATCACCTCACACCCTTCTCCCCACTTTCAGCCCTCGAGTGCTCTCTTTTAGGGGCACTGGTCCAGGGTGGGGCTTGTTGCCTGGAGGATTGTTAATTTTTTGCCTGGTCTTGCTGTTCTGTTCTCTTTACCTGTTTGTGAAGCTGACGTCAGGGCTTGTAGAGATCCTGGCCGCACAAGTTGTAAGCCGAAAAGATCCCGTGGTTAGTATTAAGTGCAGGAAACGAAAGGCCTGCCTTCTTTTCAGCTGCTTATCTTCTGTGGCAGGCAGGTCTCAAAGTGGGATTGTGTTGAGGCGGCGTCCTTTCCGTTGAAGTGGGGGGTTCTGGTTATGTGCTGTGGGCCTGGGCCCCTTGTACGCGGCTGCCTCCTAAAATGACACTCTTAAGGGAACACCATGTTAGGAGGTAATAATAGAATAAGGACCATATCATTATCGTGGCTCATAGTAAGCCGACTTACTATGGGAAAGATACGTTTCCCAAATTTTGAATGCTTTTGTGTGAAGGAAGGAAGGGAAAAAAAAAACAAAACTGATCTCCAGATGAGCTAATAATTCAAGCTTGTGAGACTGGATTGGGGGACATGAGTCAATTCCGTTACATTTGGCATTGAATCCTGGTCTTCCCGTGAAGAAAGGGAGGAGGGGAATGGGAAATCCTTGCGCTACTCCAAGTGGGGAAACTGTGCCTTAAAAAAGGAGAGGGTTTGAAGAACTACAAACCATGTATCTAAACTCTGCAGCTCTCAGAAATACTAATGCTTGCCTGCAAAAGAACAGGAGAGAATTCAGGCCTAGAACCCCAGAAACCGGGTTCCGTAGCTTTCTCTCCATGCCCATCAGCCTCAAGGCATTACTTGCTGGGAAGTTTGATCCCAGACAAGAAATGAAATCTCCTTATACAAGTGTATACCTACATACGTAGGCTCCGTCTGTGTGCGTGTTGGCTTTGTGCATTTCAGTTATACCAAATGTCTGTCTCGGAAGACTTTGTATTTTTTTTCTTTCCTGTCTCCCCGTCTTTCCCTCTGCCATCATCCCCCGCACCCTCCCCTGCCCTGGCCACTTCAGCGTTTATCTTTTTTTTTTGTTTTTTTTAATTTTTTTAATGTTTATTTTTGAGACAGAGAGAGACAGAGCATGAATGGGGGAGGGGCAGAGAGAGAGGGAGACACAGAATCTGAAACAGGCTCCAGGCTCTGAGCGGTCAGCACAGAGCCGACGCGGGGCTCGAACTCACGGACCGTGAGATCATGACCTGAGCCGAAGTCGGACGCTTAACCGACTGAGCCACCCAGGCGCCCCTTCATCGTTTATCTTGTACTTGAGCATATCACTTCAGTTTACTGTGTGTTGACTGAGCCTTAGGAGACCACAGCCTGAAGGCCATCGTCTTGGGATGCAGGGGTGGCTTTGGATGCAGCCCGGCTGAGGGTCTGTGACCTGCCGCCCTGTGGAAGGAAGCTTAAGGGGCTCGTGTCCTCCCCTCCTTACCAACATGGTCACCTGAAACCTGTCCTCCTGCCTACCCTCAGGTGGGAGGACTTGTGGCACCTTAGCAGAAAGAGGAACTGCCTAAACATTAAGGGCTATGTATTGTGGTGTGAGTGGTTGTAGTGTGTGTGTGTGTGTGTGTGTGTGTGTGTGTGTGTTTATATTTATATATATGCATATATTTATACCTTTAAAAAGTAGCCTCAAGCCATCCAGGACAGTGTTTCTTTAGGCTGTGCATGCCTGTGTAACCCAAAATCAAGTGTTTTTTGTTCTCGTCATGTTTAAAGTTGCTTTGTAAAGATCTCCGTGTGATATATGTTATTTTTTCTCTTAGGTTCTTTGTTCCCCCCAAATGTCTATAATGACACTTAGGGCATCCTACAATGGGAAAACCTTGCTGAAGCATATGTACCGATTATTAAAAGAAGTAAAACATCACTTTCTGCAGTTCACAGGAAGCTCTAATGATCTGTGTTGATTCGAGATATATATATATATACACACACACACACACACACACACATACACACACGTGTGTGTGTATATATGTGTGTGTGTATATATACATATATATGTGTATATGTAGTATATATATATACATATATATGTGTATATGTAGTATATATACACATATATATGTGTATATATATGTATATATATATATACTTTTTTTTTTTTGAGTTTTATCTTGGGCTCTCAAAGTTTCCATTAATGCCAGAACTTGTGCCTAACATTCGGTGAGTGAAAATCCCGTCACCAGCCGTGCATGTAGGGCTGTCGTGTGGGCTCCCGTGCAGATGTCTAGGACAGCCGTTCAGTGTTCCCGGAGGTGCCTTACACAAGCCTTGTGTCTGCTCCCTCCTCTTACCCACAAGACTTTGGAACAGGCCATTGTGTTTTCCAGAAGTGGGAAAGGATAACGTTACTGGGGAGGCAAGAAAAGAAAAGCAGCAAGAGCCTCTTTTAGCTGACCAGTCAACTGGATATTGACCACCTGTCTTCATGGGAAAGAAATAGATGGCAGTGAATAAGTGAGAGTCTAGTTTTCCAAGAAGCTCAATGATTTTCCCAAATCAATACAGCTCATCAGGCCTCAGAACAAAGGCTGCGGGGGAGGTGACGGTGATGGAAAAAACAGCTCTGTGTTCTTTTGTGTATTAACCCATAAGGCCCATGGGGAAACAGGGTTTCTTTAGCCATTTTTCCCCCCTCTTCCCCTTTGAGGGCTTATTCAATGTATTTAGGGGGGGAAATCCTCTCAGGATTTTTTGTTTTTTTTTAAAGATTTCCATAGATGGCATCCCAGTGATCAAATGTACTTTTGAAAGAGATGAGGTCTGTTAAGGAAGAATACCATCTTTCAAAGCATAGATGAGAACAGCATTTTGCCATCGCGTTTTGATGTTGGATTAGCACATTTATTTGGAAGTTTGTTCTTGTTATTTGCGGATAGGGCTTGGCTGAACCAAAAAGGGATGGTCTCCCTGTTCACATTAACCTCTGGCAAAGAAAGAATCACTACTATCCTCCCATAAATGAACCTTGTTCCCAGTGCCCTGGAAATAACACCAGACCCTAAAAGGACTGCTGAATTGTCATCTGAGAGGTTATAATTAACGCAGAGAGAGGGGTGCCAACATGTTCCAGCGGCCGACAGAGAACGTCTATCCAAACCAGCAATTTTTAGCCCCGCATTCCTTTAATCTTTAAGCGCACTGTGCTTTCCTAAAGTAGTGCATTAACACCAGAGCTGTGTGCGTCTGGAGTTTATGACTGGGGTGGCGACACACTAGGGCATAAAGTGTTTCATTACACTTCCCTTTGTTAGTGCTGCCCTATCTCCCAAGCCCCGTTGCCATTCGCTATTTGTTCAGATAAAGCCCAATGTTCAGGGTGACTAATCACAGCACTGTGTTCCAGATGGTTTGATTACAGGATGTGGTTAAAGTGACTCTTCAAACATGCAGCTCAGCAGTAGGGCTCTTTCTGGTCACGTGACCATACTTTTCTTGTCCTAGTGCCCCAGAGATACTTAGCATAGGGAATAGGAAAGTCCCTCTGTGTTTTGGCCGTCAGGTATTTCATCGGCAACCTCAGTTGTAAATTAAATATTTCCCCCAATAATTAGAAACTCAGCTGTGTCCTTTGGAGAGAGGGGTTTCTGAAGATGAGATGCTCTGAAGCCAGAAACAGGAACCAATGTACTATACACGACTCAGCTTTTTAAAAAGTACCAGGATTGGATAGAGCAAAACCGCAGCAATAAACTTCTGGAGGGGGAGGGCGTTTGGGTACAAAGGAAAGGTGATAAATCCTACCTTGTACAATAGTCATGTATTAAAATAGGAGGTAATAGGATACTCGAAATGTCTGAACTTTATCCTGTGCGCAGAAACCAGCTTACTGTGGCCCCTTTTTTATTGTCACTGATGTGTCTACTGGAAAAAAAATATAGGAAAGGAAAGAAATGTGTAAACTGTAAAAAAAAAAAAAAAAAGGATTGCAGCATAAATGGGTTACATTTCGGTGTTATTAGAGTGAGGTTTCTGTTTTCTGCATGAGTGCACACGAAGTCCATCCAGATGTGATAGTCTGAATAAGAGTTCCAGAAAAAAAAAAAACAAAACCGATGTCTGATTCCAAATTCGGCGTTTGCAACGCTTGCCAGAGACTTCTGTCCCAGGGATGAGGCACTTTAAAGACTCTGAAACAGTCTTTAAACTGTAATACAAACAGAGTGATGCTGATCCACTGGGAAATCAGGCCTTTGCCCAGTTCTTGAGGAAACATCTTCACAAATAACCAGCAACAGTAATTCATAAACCATATTTATAACATCTTTGGAGTACAGTCTCTCCACAGAGAATTTCTCTCGTCTCTAAGCTAGTGGGAGATGATGCTTATTGAAAAAGTATGATAACAGTCAAAAGAAGGATTCAAATCTGGATTCCCTTCTGTCACCATGCCACAGCCACCAGGGGTTGTGCAAGCTCTCTCTCTGCGCCGGGCACGGCGCTCACAGGTGCAGCAGGTGCGGACCCCACCTCCGTGTTCAGAGAGTGTAGTCGGGCCGGAAGAGAGGTGTCCCATGTATATGAGGAGTGGAATGTGAAGGGGGCTGTGTGTGAGGGCAAGACAGAGAGGCTCAACAGTGTTCAAACGTAGGAGGAAATGATTCGCTGCTTCCTTAATTGACTGAGTGTGGTATTCTTGGGGTGGGCCCTCCTTGTCATTCAGGGTCCCAGGTGAAGGAGGCTCTGTGATTCTCAGCGGGCCTTCAAGGTCATTGCAGTCTCCATCCCAGCCAGACAGAAAGAGGAAGAAAGTAGAAGAACACGAGCAGGAGATTACTGTGAGCCAGGCCTGTAAGTGGCACGGGGCAGTTCAGTCGCTTAGCTGTCATAGACCTGAGTGGGCCGCAGACCCACGTCTAACTGGGCCGGAAGCTGAGACGTGTCCAGCTCTGGGCCCAGACAGAAGCTTGGATTCTGGTGAGTGTCCCTTGGCCAGAGGACGGGGCACGGAGTGCCGTGGGGACCCAGGAGGGAGTGGCCGTGTTTCGGTGGTGCGCACCGTCGGTGTGTGACTGGAGAGCATCCACAGAAGAGATGACATTTGCCCTGTGTCTCTCTTTGGTGCTAACTCATTAGGAATGTTAGCTTTCCTTGGAGGTTTGGACTAGAACAACTTCGGGGGACTAAACTTGTGACCTAAGTAGTGGGTGAAGAAACTCTTTTGGCTGGAGAGGGGGAAAAAAACGTGTGAGCTGGAGGTGAGAATGTTACTGTGGTCATTGTGTTTGCCTGGGTGAGAGAGAGGCTGACAGGTGGAGGATGGGTAGACTGTCCCTGCAGGGACACCTCCGGGACCAAGCTATTCAAAGACAGAGTTAAGTTCAGAACCAGGAACACCTTTTGAACAAGATGGATGGAAAATAATAGGGCCGTCCTGGGTGCTGGTAAGCCCTTGTCACTGCTAAAAGACGGGAGG